GACGATTCTTTTGGAACAGGAAAGCGTATACCAACGCAGTGTTGGACAAGTTCGGCATGGCCGACGCGCGTCCGACGACATCTCCGTCTGAGGCTGGACCGGTGTCCGTCTTGGAGGACGAGGTGCTGTCAGCGGAGGATACCACATATTTCCGCTCCGCCACAGGCTCGCTTCTATATCTCAGCAGGTGCACAAGGCCCGACATTACTCACTCCGTAATGGTTCTGACGCGGAGTATGGCGAAACCAGGTCCGAGGGCGATGCAGAAACTCAAACGCGTACTCAGGTACCTGAAAGGTACGATATCAATCGGTGTACGCTACGGCGAGGACGCCGGAGATGGAAACGTCATTACGGCGTTTGTCGACTCAGATTTTGCAGGCGACCTAGACAAGGGCTACTCCACCACGGGAGTCGTGTTGTACTTCGCTGGTGGACCGGTGGAATGGACATCATCCAAGCAGACGGTGGTGGCGACCTCTTCCGTTGAAGCAGAGTTCGTGGCTTTGTCGAAGGGGTGCAACATCATCAAGTACTTCCGCCACCTGCTGGACACCATAAATCAGACTCAGGAAGAAGCAACCGTGGTGTGGGAGGACAACTCGGGAGCTCTAAAATTAACTCGTAGCTTCCGTATCACCCCAAGGACGAAGCACATTGACGTATATTTTCACCACGTAAGGTCGCTGGTAGCTGATGGAGTCGTAGACGTGAAGCAAATATCGACGTCGCTTCAGAAAGCGGACATTTTTACGAAAGGGCTAAACCCGTCGGAGTTTCTCCGCGCCCGTGGCATGCTGTTAGGAGTTTGATCACCTCCCCTCTTCTTCGTAATCAGACTTTATGTCTTGAGGGTTGGATGGTGTATGTGTGTGTATATGTTAGAAGAAAATTCGGGAGATTTGTGTCGAAGGAAAATAAATCGCTGCTGATGCAACGCAGCTGAGAAAGGCAAAACAATTGATATTGAGACAGAAGTTCTTAAGATAGCATTGTTTCGAGAGGACATGGATATTGTTTTCGAGAGGACATCGAGAGAGAATTGGATCTGATGCATAGGTACTAGAATGACGTAGTTCTTGAGAGGACATGTTGGAGTAATTGCGGTACAAGAACGACTCTATTCTACTGCATGGGTTTATGCGGTATTGTGAAGGCGTTGCCAAGTCTGTAACCGTCAGGTGAAGACAGATTGGGCGTCTGTGTGGATAATAATATCACTCTGTGTGTTTGCCTACCTAACCTCGCATCACATGCCAGCTACTTTGTAGCCACAGCTGAAGGAATAGCTGTACAGCAACTGCAGTGACAGTGCTGTTGCCTCAACACAGACCCCATCATCGGAGGATTCTCGAGCGTTCCGTGGACCCCTAAATGTGGTTACCCTTCCTGGGCCGCTTCCCCGGGGGCATTCTTGTTCATGTTCAAGGAGGAAAGTACAGGAAGTGGATTGGGACCGGCCTCTTTTCAACCGATGAAGTGGGACCTCAAGGATGGACAGGCCTACAAGGCCTTACATCTTGGTGCCGAACATGGGCCCACCTTTGGAAGCGACACACGAGTGATGTGGCACGGAACGGCGAGCACTGTCCACACGGCAAACTTCACGTACACTGTCCCAGCCGGGTCTCCTTTTCTTCTACTCAACGGGCGTCTCCTTGTGGATATCGAGACGTTTCGTGTGTGCCCCAAGCCGACAGGTACCCTCTCTTTGGCCAAGCAAGAACATCACGCAGGAGCGGGCACAGTTACACCGATGGCACCTGTGAGGACTAGTGACGATGTCCCTACCTTTGGGCGTTTGATTGCTGACTCGTTGATGGAAGCGGAGATGGTTCTGCAAGAAGCAGGCATTGAGCTTTCCCCTGCCAAGGCCAGGACGACCGCATGCGCTACGGCCTTGGCGGCGGTGTACGGCCCAGACGTGGCAAACGGACAAGAGGAGGACGTTGTGGAGCTGAGCGTACGTGGGACAGAAATGATGACTCTGCGCTCCACCCTGAGGATTTGCCCTAGCTCGGCCCTTGCCGCTCGGTTTGACGAGGACAAATGGCCGGCTGCGAAGAAAGATGTCGATAGCAATGGGCGTCGTGTGATCGACTGTAAGCCGTCTGTCTTCTCGAAGGTACTCGACGTACTCCGCATGGCAAAGCGTGTGCGGTGGGCTGATGACGAAAAACTCGAGGGAATGAACGAGACACCTCGCGTCACCATCAAGGCCGGTGACCGTTTTGCGTTTGAAGAATTTGTGGACATGTACTTCAAGGGCTGCGAAAGCTTCATCATGGAGCACGTCAGTCTTCTTGGCGACGAGACGGCCACTCGCTGAGCGCCCGGCGTTGATTCTTACGGAAGAGACTGGGCTACGGTAAGAAAGGGTTGCGTTGAGGCAATAGCCGATCGAGTGATAGCTTCATGATGCGAGAGTCACCTGTCCAATGCAGTAAAAATAGCTGTCGGTAGATTGCGTTTACGAGAGCAGTGATTCCTGTATCCAGCGCGTGTTGAACGTTGATAACGGGAGAGGCTTGCCCAGGATATTTGTGTGCTTCCTCCGATATTCCCAACATGGTGATGATCAACCCCCGTAGCATTTCAGGTGTGTCCGCCTCGTATGTCGCACGAGGGACTTTGTGTTCGATTGTCTCTTCTGCTTGGGGTGTGTAAATAGTACCCTGAAGCCTTCTCCATTGATTGGCCCACAAATCCCTTTTGATGAATTCCGAACCGCTGCTGCTGCAGTCTGAAACTGGTATGCATAGACTACAGCAAGCATCAAAATTTTACATTTCTATTTCTAGTCTCAAGCGATGTTGGTAGCAGTTCCCCTAGGCCGACGTCTGTGAGTATTTTCTATTTTCCCCGCAACATTTTGTCTCGTTCTTTGCTTCCAACATTTTGGCCATATTGGCCCATCTTGCGACAAAGAGACCATGTCTGAAGTTCTTTCTTGCTTGTTACAGGCGGGGCCACCATCCTTTCGCCGTTTCTGCGCTTGCTGCTTGCCACCTCCCATCAACTTTGTTTTACTTTCATTTTCATACCCCTGTTTTGGTGCGCATTTCGAAAACAAAAGGACCATTCTTGCTTTCATGGGCCTTCAACTTTCAACGCCTGTTCTTGCTACATGTGTCACAATGCAGTCCTTGATAGCTCATCATCATCCCTTGCTCGCCTTCCCTCTCGTAGCTGCGAGATTTGGCTATTGATATGTGTACGTTGTTCCAAGAATTTTGTTGTCGATGCGTGCATTTTCGGAACTCTCACGTCTTCCTCTACCTTTCTGAGCAGTCATCTACAATGTAGTACTTTGTCATGGAGCATTTCATGGAATTCCATGGACTACCATGAACGAACGAACTTCCATGGACTTCCACGAAACGGTCCATGGACTTCCATCAACTTTCTTCACGGAAATGAAATTTCTTGAAAATGTCAATGAAAAGTCCATGGAATTCCATAAAAGTCCATGGAATTCCATGGAAGCAGCGAAAAGTCGATGGAAGTCGTCCATGAAATTCCTCGAAACGTTTCATGGCGGTAGTCCATGAAACATTCCTCGGACGTCCACGTCACCTTCCCATGAAGCTGAAATGTTGTTCGACAAACGAAAACCGTGGGCATCCTTCAACAGTGATGAATGTTCGTGGATGTTCACGAGGCACTTTTTTCAAGGAAACCATGGACTTCCATGGAATTCAACGGAACTGCATACACTTCTATTGCAGGCCACGTATCATTCCATGGAGTTCCATCGACGTCCATGGAATTTCATGGAATTTCATGGAATTTCATGGAATTTCATGGACGTCCATGGAATGTCATGGATCTCCATGAAACGTTCCTTACGATTTCATGAAAATTGTCATGGGCGCTCATTCAAGCCCATGAAATACTTCATGGAAGTCTATGGATATCATGGCATGTTTCCTATCAAACTTCATAACAAAACAATAGTGTCAGATAATACGCAAACTCTACCTATGAACTGCCCACGAAGTGCCCACCTTGGGCACTTCAACCTAGAGCTTCGCCACCGGCATATCAACCTCGAAGTTAGCCACCGGTACAGCGTAGAACCAAGCCACCCAACGCGAACGCAGCACGTATGTATCGCGTGGGCTTGGGTTTGGGGTTAGGGTCAGTGTTTGGGTTATTCGCCGCTCGTTGTAAAGCCCCTCCCAAGTCAGAGAACGTATTGCTTACGAGAGCACACTGGTTCCGGTTGAAGGGCACTCACTCATTGGCGGTCCGTATGGGCTGCCCATGAATCATGGGTTGCTCATGGGTGCCCCATGGGGGGTTTGTTTAGCAAAGCGGCCAATGAGTGTGGGAGACCCGACTTTGCTTCCCGGATTTCTTCCTTTCTTGTGTCGGTCTCTCTCTCTTCACCGTCAGGGCTGCTGGTATTCCAGTGTCGGTTCCGTGCCGTCTCTCTTCGAGGATCCCGTGCTTCCCGGGCGTCTACTACGTGGACCTATTCTTAGGGGCAAAGGAAAAGCTTCGGGGTCGAGCGCCGCTTCAGACCCGCGCGAACACAGCAATGATCTAAGCGTGAAAAAACTACCACGGGTTACGAGCCATGCCGTTTTCCCTCCAAGTGAGAATCCCAAAAACTATTACGACAGCAGTGTGTGGTGGTGTTGATGAATGTCCATAAAATGTGTCATGAAACTTCATGAACGTTCATGAACTTTCATAAAGCATTTCATAGAAGTTCATGACATGTTGGCCATGAACGTCTATGAACGTCCATGAAAATCCATGAACGAAAGTCCATGAATATTTTAACGAACGTCCATGAAATATGCCACGGACTTCCATGGACTTCCATGAAACGTTCAGTAGACATCCAGGGAATATTTCATGGGCACTCATGAGAGTCCATGAAATATTCCATTGATGTCCACCGCCACGTTCCATGACACATTCCGTTATCGTTTATAGACGTTCATGAACCCGCTGTCATGAACGTCCACGAAATGTTTTCGTGAAACGTTCCATGACACGCAATGGAATGCTTCCATACAGTGTTTCATGACACAAACCTCATGAACGTCCATGATATCTTAATCTTTCATGAATTTTTCACGGAAGTCCATGAACGTTCGTGACATTCCTTGTACATAGTTCCGTGGAAGTCCGTGGGCTTCAACGGAACTCCATGATATGTCATGAACGTCCACGGACCTCCATGAACAGTTCATGACCATGAACTTCCATGAATATCCATGGACTTCCATTGGACGTTCCATGAAAAATCATGAAAATTTCACAGACTTTCATGGATTTCCATGGAATTCAACGGAACGTTCCACGGGCTTCCATGGAAAAGTACGAAGACATACATGCCTATTTCTGATGGTTTTGCTCGGCGGGTGTGTCGAGATGTGGTTCGGTGAACGGTCGTCAGACGCCGGGTGCTGGTGGTGATCAATACCTGGACTGTGAATTTTTATTCCTTTGACGGCGGTGCGGCCAGACTTCCTTTGTTTTCACTCGTTTTCCCCGAAGAATCGACCGCTATCACTACCCTTGCACCCAGATGCGCCAAGCTTGAGAGCAAAAAGAGTATTAATTGGCCGTTTGTACATTGAGGCCATTTCTTGAGTGAGTGAAAAAGATAATCGCCGAAACCCTCGGAATCATGAGTTTGGTTGAATTCTGTGATTGAATACACTTTGCTTACGGTACACACAACGGTTGGAATCACCCACTGTTGATGACGACCTTGTGACCCCTGTTTGCCGCCCATCCTGCGTTCGCAGCAACTCTCAGAATATTTCAGAAATATTGTGCTCCCTGCGTTCGCAATGTACATTCAGCACAATGCTGGTTCATCTACGGCAGTGTTCCAGACCCCTAAGCTCAATCCTAATCATTCCATCTGATAGGATGGTAGCCAGCCCCGCAAATGATACCGCGCCACCAAGAGTCTATCGTACCAGACCACGCGATACGTGTGCTGAACAGGGTTCATGGTTCACTCATGAAACAAATATATGGGGGTCTTGAACGGTTTTTCTCCACCATCCAACCCGAAAGCCATTCCCTCGCGAGATTCGTATTTCACTTCGCCGTAGACGTACGTACCATTCGGCCCCAAAGAGGATGCTTTCGAACGAGTCAAGGCATTGCAGCGTTTGGGATGCTCCTGGCAATCATCTCGCCTCCCCCTCCACCCTTCATTGTGTGCCCAGGTTGAATGGTCTGTGGCGACCAAAATTTGAGGGCTGACTTGGGTACCTGCAGCTCAGGGTGCCACCAAGTACAACTCACCGTCTCTCCAAAAGGTGTATTCGTGTTCTCCTCGATGGGAAGCCTGTTCGACTCTAAACACCCTCCAAGGTTAAATGTCGCAACCCTAGGAGTCCGGTTGGTCTAGCGATATGCCACCTGAGAAGGAAACAACGTTCATTTGTCGTCAAGGCGAGAGTTGTTCATTGGAGGAGTACTGTCCGTGTTGAATGCCTCTCCTGCAAGCGTATTGACCATAGTAGGAGATCGGCGGGAAACAAACGAATGTATCTCAGTCGAAGATGCCATTTGCGTGAGTGCAGTCGGTCTTCGAACTGTTCCGGGGTGGCGAGGGAGCGCCACGGGTTACTTTTCGCCGATTGCGTAGTTTACACCGCAAATAGGGGCGTGTCGACAAACGCCGGTTGCGGGTTGGCCAGAGATTTGAGATGCATCGCCAAACGTAGTTGGTAAGAAAGGTTGGCTCGTATCATGTATGTAGGCTGTCTCCAACCTGGGAGTTTAGCAATTGATCAACAAGAGACAATCCTGAGCACTTGGCACCAGGCGATAGAAAGCTCGTACCGCGGGAAAATACTTTCAACCGTGTCAGTTGCCTTGCCCGTCAGTAAACCTGCAGACGACGCCTTTGTCAACTGTTTCTAGAACATACACTTTGGACCGTGGTTCGACCAAACGAAACCGGACCCCCGACAAAATGCACTACAGTAGTCCTGATGAAATTTTCGGACATCCAAACGTTTGCACGGAGGCCGTTGCTTCCTCGGCGGCAGCTTTAGCGATAGTCTCAGCATGCGATAGATCTCTTCGTGGCTTGACTCGTGCACTGACTCTTTGACCCTGGAGTCAATAGATTATCACTCAATCAGTATGGGCCAAAAAGGGAGCAGTATCACTGGGCAAAACGAAATCGTCAAAGATGAGCGCGACGGATGATGGAACAACAATGAAGCACAGGATCACCTGGTGAAAAAATGAGGGGGCGCAAAAAGTATCGCGTTTCTTGTCACGATATAGGAGAGGAAAAGAATATCATGTGGGCGCCCCTACGCGTACTTGAATCTGGACCCGCAGCAATCCGGTTGACGCCAAATTTCATGACATTATGACTTCCCATGATGCTCTGAAGTGATCCTGCTGCCATGAACGCTGCCATGGCATACTCCTTACAAAATGTGCCCGTCTTCCTTATTCTCAAGCATGGGCAGTGAGACGTTGATCAACATCTAGTCTACTCATTTATTCAGGCTCCGAGTCAGCATCTTTCCGGCAGACGTCGCCAACGCCATGTCTGCCGTCAACTCCGGGGATGTCGCCTCACCACCCCCTGTCGCAGAATTCATGTCTGAATCGTACTGCAAATATTGCAGTAGATACCACCTCTTTCTCATCGAAGAGATGGCCGTGTCGGCATGGCCAAAGTCTGTGATCAATCGCAAGTCACAGAGAAAATATCCCTCTCTCGCAACGGCCAAGGGTATCGATCGTCATTCTTCCGAGACCCGTCGCGTTCTAAAAAACACACGCAACAGAAAGGTTGCTGGTGCCACTGGCGAGAACAAAGCATGCGAAGATTTTCGTCGAACGGTTATCATCCTACAATCAATGTATTCCAACTCAGGTAAAACGTGGGAGGGACCGAGGACAACGGTAGCCACATGTCGGTGCGAGCACTACGCTTGCGTCAGTTTCCGCGTGGCGGCGACAAAGACTGGCTAGAGGCCCTGAAAGGTCGATGAATGGCCATGAGGAGACAAGATACTCAGTCCTTTGTCAAGCGACACACCTGATGACGATGTGCCTTTCTATTCGCGTCAAACCTGCGAAGACTTTGGAAGGTTTGTGTGCGCCGTATTATCATTAGCCACATCGTTGGGATTGGCGGCGAATCAGATTTAGGTTGGCGAACGCTTCTTCTCCACCATGATCACCGAATTTTGATGCGAAAACGTGAATTTACCTTTCGTCACGCTGTTTCAGGCCGTTGATGTTGGTGCGTTTTGGGTTTCGTGTCCGCTTGATCTCTTTAAGCATTTGTACCCGCCCACGAGCAAAGAGACTCGAAAAGACGAACCAGAACTATTGCACAAGGAAGTCAACGTACATACAATGCAGCGCCACAAAAGGGAGCAACCGCGGTTGAAACCGTTGGTCGAGTATTCGTCAGCACCCAAAATCGACAACCAATTATCAGCCCTGTTGCAATAGGGACCACACGACTGTTTTTCAAAATTAACACGATCAACTAGTACACTTGAAACTGCTAGAAACATTCCTACATGTCATTCCGTGAGACGTGACAGATGGTCCAAATATATAGACCAAGGGTTTTCACATGCGTTTTACGCACCGGAGGCCAGGGCGACCACAGTGCGATAAACAAACCTCTGAGTGCTGTGTCCCCGAAGTGTCCCCTGTTGGGCGTCCAGAACCAAGAGGGTAAATGCTCACTTCTTTATTTGCTTGAAAGAGAACTTTGCTGCGGAGGGAAAACAAGTGAATATACCCAAGACGAGCGCAACTTGGCGGTGTAGACAAATTTTATTTCCGTGTTCATTCTGACAAATGTTGTGGCTGTGACACGAACGCTGTTCTTGACATTGAGCATTAATAACTCAGGTACCAGCCTCAAGTACGTGATAGCCACTGCAGGGAATATTTTGAACCACGCAAGGGAAAAGTGGGCAATCCGAGCAAGCCGATGGCATGGACTTGACGTTGGTACGTCTACAGTAGTCCCGTATCGTCACGTATCGACCCGCCATATTCGGGCAGGGCTCGTGAATTTCTGATAGCTGAACGATCACATCGTACGATATCGTGCCCATGCTTAAGGTTATCCCCCCGAATAGTTTATCGGGCTACAACTCATCACGGACAATGAGTGATTCCGGTTCCTACGAACAGTTGTTCGAGACATTCGTTTTGTATTCGAAGAGGCTACGTTCCCACATTGACAACAATTCTCGCAGCAAAGTTGACCCCACAAGCTTGCGCACGTTGCCTCTGCCAACGCGGCCATCTACTGCAGTACGATTCATAGGACTGCTCTATACAGTACGTATCCTCAACGCGCGACCGTCAGACAACGGTGGCACCATGCTTCGTCTCCAGTCGAACGAGAAGAACACCTGTTCTGCAACAATGGAGGCCTCCGCTCGGGCAACAGAGGCCGCTCTTTCTCAGAGGCGGCGGGAGATGGATCAGGCGTGGGACGACACCGACCAGGGATGGCAGGAGCTCCAGGCGCACATGACAGAGGTTGGCATCATCAAGCCTTTAGACTCGAAAGAAGAAATTGTGAAGTTGAACGTTGGCGGTTCGCATCAAACCGTTCGTCGCTCGGTCCTTGAGGGGAAAGGAGAACAACCGTCTTCGACTTGGGCACTGGGAGACCTGTTCGAGGCTGAGTGGGACAAGCGTGTTCCCCGGGATGCAGATGGCCGTATCGTGCTTGACGAGTCACCGATATGCGTCAAGCACCTCATCGAGGCCCTCCTGCTTCGTCCGAACGCGGCCAACGGTACCGCAACGGGCGAGGCTGATATGTCCCGCGATGATCAGCCCGACCTTTTTCACCATACTGCGCGTGTTCTCGGTCTGTCGGGGCAACTGGCTCCCGTCGGGATGACGATAAAGGGGGGAACCACGACCTTTGATCCTCACGAGGCCAGCAAGCTGACGGCCGTCGTTCAACGTTGGTGTCCTGGGAATCCTGGTGAGTTGGAACTGCTCTATCGTGCTTCCCGTGATGGCTGGACAGGTGCTGCCTGCCAAGATCGTTGTGGAGACCAAAGTTCGCCGACAACGATTACCTTCTTGCGAGTGAAGGGACGCGGGGCAGCTGCGACAGACTGTATCATTGGAGGGTTCTCCAGTATTCCGTGGGACGACTTCATGTATGATTCGGATGCCGGCTACTACAGTCCTTCCCCGGGAGCATTCTTGTTCATGCTCAAGGACGGTGAGGGACGTCATTCGGGCGTATATCAATCGACGAAGTGGGGCGTCAAGGATGGGCGTTCTGCCTACGCCGTTTATCGTGGTCAAGGATATGGACCCTGCTTTGGGGAAGGACGTGACCTACACGTGGTCTGGAATGGGACGGAGAGCGCTGTGCGAACGGGAAATCAGACGTACCATGCCCCGACCGGGTCCCCATTTCCTGAGCTCAACGGATGCCGTCTTGTTGATGTCGAGACATTTCGTGTGGGTCCAAAGCCGAACACGCCAACCTCTTCGACCAAACAAGAAGACCACGCTGTTGAAGACAAAACGGGACCGGGGGCACCTGTGAAGACTGCGGACGATGTTCGTTCTTTTGGGGATTTGGTTGCTGACTCATTGATGGAGGAGGAGAAGCTTCTCCAAGAAGCCGCAAATGAACTTTCCCTTGCCAAAGCCAGGACGATGGCGTGCGCCACGGCCGTGGCGGCGGTGTATGGCCCAGAGGTGGCCACAGGAACAGAAGATGACGTGGTAGAGCTGAACGTGCGTGGGACCAGGATGACTACTCTGCGTTCTACCTTGCGGATTTGCCCTGACTCAGCTCTTGCCGCTTGGTTCAACGAAGAGCAATGGCCGGTGGCGGAGAAAGATCTCGACAGCAACGGAAGGCGTATCATCGATTGTAAGCCGTCCGTCTTCTCAAAGGTGCTAGATGTACTACGCATAGCAAAGCGCGCGGCCTGGGCTCGTAGCGAAGAGGGGCCAGTACGAAACGAAAAACGTCGCGTCAAACCTCGAGTCACCATCAAGGCCGGCGATTGTGCGGCCTTTGAAGAATTTGTGGACATGTACTTCCCTTGCTGCGAGACCTTCATGATGGAGCACGTTGATCTTCTTGATGACATTTGATGTCGGCGCTGACGAAACGCGTTGGGCAACGGTAAGAACGCTAAGTTGAGACGAAAACCGACCAAATGAGAGGTGCAGATTGGAGTTACAACCATCCGTGGGTTGATGCCGGTTGAGTTCGTTTACCAATTTCGAGCGGTGTACAGCACAATAGATGAATAGGCGCGTGTCAAAGACTACGTAGGTCGCCGGGTGCTATTCCAACATGGCCATCACCCCCCTCAGCGTGTCATCGCGTGCCACCAGACGCACGCTTGTCAACCGGCCACGAAAACAAACTTTATCGTGCAGTCCATCGATCATCTCGCTTTCGACGTTTGTCTCATCCGCTGATATTTCGCTGATAAGAGCCCGGCGGGTGGCGAATATTTCACTGCGCATCTTGTAAATATACGTACGTAGAGTGCTTAGTTTCCAAACGAACGGACTTCACACGTTATCTATGACCTCTGGTGGTGAGCGCTGGGGGGCATGTAGGTACGGAATCACTCATGAAGAGTGTGGATGAGCTCCCAAAGAGGACGCTTCTCAGGAAACAGTGCAAGCGAGCCGAAACTACGATGTTCATTCTTCGCAATGTGCCAGCATGTGAATCTATGCAAAAGATGAGAACGAACGGGCATTGCCCGCCCGCAGGCATACTAGGAACTTCTGCTGCTGAAGGAAAACGGCGTCATTCCGGCGCAGCAACGCAGCTCTATGCTTTTCACCGGTGCGACGATTTCGGGCAAGACGAACCCCGAACTGCCTGCCAAAGGCCAGGAGACGTCGGGAGGTGTCCAGCCTGGGAAATGCGGTGGACGAACGGGTGAATATATGAGGAAGAGGGGCGGGATACATGGTGGAACGGGGCTTTGATAGGAGAGTGAGGTACATTGAGTTTCGGGGACGAGTCAGCTGACGGTGACAACGATGGATCATGGTGGTGGTGCACAGTCACGGGTGATCTCGGCACCCCAGCATGACTACTTCTGGGTCGAAAATGTGTCGTCTACGCTTTCTGTGTTTGCCGTGCGGGTTCGTTGGTCGGCAGGGCGGAGGTTGGCGCGCGACCTCCACTTTGTCTACCTCAGTGAAATTGTGCTGTAGCAAACACGTGTTGGTTTACTGTAGAAAAACAACGGTTGGCGTCTATCGAGAAACCTGTTGTTTCTCAATGGTGCGATTATGTTTCGTTCAAGTGCGAGCGTTCATATTTTCTTTGGATTTATGTTCTGTGTGTTCACTGTGTGCGTCTAGAAACAGAGTTGATACTCTCGACAGTAGGTTCCTATACTGTCAAGCGCCGTGACACCAATAAATTTCAACCACAATGAGTTCCTCTTATCCCGCGGGGGAGATGCTGTGGGATACATACACTCACGTTATATGATACAGGCTAAACCATAAGTCCACTCAGTCAGGCTGAACCAGTGAGCTGACTGAGTGGTCGAATGTTTCAGCCAAGGCGGAACTTTACATCATCACCTACTTGAGATGGTGACCATACGACAAGACGCTGTCCATTATGCGTTCAATTATTTTCTGACAACGAACGAAGATGTACGAATATGTAGTCGATTTCTGTACGAAGTCGACCGTAGTTGAGATCCCGGCGGCACGTTGGGGGGGTAAACCATCGCTATAGTGCGGTATTTTGCGGTCGTCAACAACAGGGAAGTTCGCCAGTCCCTGCCCAAACATGCGGACCGAGAAGAAAGAGCGCCGGCTCTACACCATAAGCGTTCTCTGAACAATGCGGGCCCCATTTCGGACATGTACCTCGTGCGTCGTTTGAATGTCTCCTTCGGTAGCCATCTCATGTTTTAAAAGGCTACTACCCAAAAAGTGAACGCTCAATTTCAAGAGAGCATTTGATGATGGGGTCGGAATGGGTCTCTCGGCATTGATCGTTCCTCGAAAAGTGCCAGACACACATGGCATAAGAAAACAAGGCCAGACAGCGCCGGGTTGCCCAGAATGAACCCTGCAAAAAAATGGTGGGGAAACTCATAACAACTCCAGCGTGATAATAATCGAAATGAAAAACAAAAGAAAGAACGCCAACGGTGACCATTCGCAAATTATAATGAAACTGTGCTTTTCCCCCGCAGGCTATCAAAAACATTTCATTCTTTTCTTAAGGAATTTCACAACCAGCAAAACATCGAGGCCGTTATCAACAAACAGCTACTGTGGTCATGGGGAAAGCTCTTCAAACCTCGAACAAAACTCGTTGACAACGCGATTACAACAAAACAAAAATGGAATCAGAATACAAGGGGAACCATGGCTCTCGTCCAACGTACACAAGCACACACGAGCAACATAATGGGCTGAGAGGGTAAACAACCAAACCTACCGGGAAACGCCTGCTGCACACCACACCGTACAATCGCATACCGAAACTGTGAACGGTTAGCCCTTGAGAGTACGCATTGCAAAGTACGGTCACCTTTTCGTCGCGGAAGGTACTAAATAAATCTGGCCTGAGTCTCGACAAAAATATATATATCTAAATGCAAAGATGATCACCCCGCCTCTTTCGGACCTTACAACACCAAGGGAATTGCAGCAACAAAAACCACCTTCGAACTTAAAGAACCTACGCTCGAAAACACAAAAAGGCGCTTGCTTTCGTCGGCCTCCCCGAGGCAGTGAGGAGTTGACGCATGCGGAGCGGCCTCTCAAGGAAACCAAGGAAACGGGAACGAATCGTCGGGAACGGATCTGTGTGATTGGCTTGGGGGCATCAAACTTAGCACATGAAACCGCATACCACGTAGGGATCTAAAGCCGCGTGTTAGCAAACAATACATCGGACAAACTGACCGTGAAAGCTCTTCCGACACCGAATGCAACACCTACGGCGCCAGCGTAGACGGGACCAACAGTTAGTATCACACGCCAGGTTATGAGGGTATGCGTAGAAGCAGCTTTCAACATCGTGAGGCGCTGCATCGACCCATGGAGGCGATACACACGTCTTGCTGTGTTGGCTACTCCAGCAGCAGGACCTACAGTACAGCAAGACATCGAGGCGGCCCGACCCTATACAAGACCCCCGTTCCAGAAACACTCCATTTACCCGAATCGAGCATTATTTCGACAGAGACAGGCAACGGTTTCGAGTGCCAAGCGGGCATCACCCTAGCCTACGCCTACCGCACCGTTTGCCAAATTCTCTCAACACGGGGATGACAGCAAGAGCCGAGGGGCAGCTCTTAAGGGTCAAGGAGAGGTGTGAAGGGATGCCTCCTCGCGAGGGTCCACAGCTCCCAGCCCCACATGACCGACCACACCCATCCGACCACTAGCGAGGTGGTTACCAGCTGCAGGATGCCCGTGAAGATGCTCTTCAACTTGCATGTGAGAAACCCTGCGATGACAGTACCCAGTCCTGTTGACATTTTTCAGAACAGAACGAGAAAAGAAGGCAGCGAGCGACGCGCAAACGGGAGGGAACGGGGGAGAGAAACATGGACGTCGATCTCAACATATTGGTGGCTCCATTTTGGCCGGAAAAATGCAGATATGAGGGGCAACCAAACAGGCGGGATCGACACACGTAGGCGAGCGTTTCGTGTTCCGGAGGTCTCAATAGGGGGGAAAAATCTTTGATTTTTCCAAGGCAACTATGGCATGTCAGGGCGCGCCTCCACCGGGAATCTCGGCAACAAAAGCGATCTCGGCACCAAAAACGGGCACGTTAAACGCCGAAACCAACACCCCGCGGGGTTTGCGCAGATGCAAAAACGCAACGCACTTTCGGATGATCAAAAATCCATTGGTGAAACCAATCCATAGTTTCGGATCGATGGAGCAATCGGGGAAGAAATTTGATCCTCGACCACAGCTGCCTCTACAAAGGCGAAGTAACTGGACCAGTGGTCGTTTGAAAGGCTAACGCTACGCCTTCGTCCCATTACAGGGGGCCAAAACGAGCTCGGCGAATGAGGTTTTCACTCGTCGGTTTCGCTTCCAGAGTTTGAGAGGTGAGACTCCGGAAAACAAATTGGCTTGCAACATTGCAAGAGTACACCAATTCGCTACGACGCCCATCAAGTGCCCGAGATAAAATAGCCTGTGCCAGCAATACTCCAGTGTGGAAAACGCCAACCTAAAACATATTAGAGACGGCCATTTGACCATCAGGCCAACACAATACCTGTACTGGTTTGGGCGAGAGGTTTTCCGACTCGACACGCGGCGATGCAGCATGCGTGATACTGCGTGTTTTGTCCACAACTCCGTCTGTACAGAAGCAACAGAAGAGCAAAAAACACACACAAACCAACATACCCCAAACGATCGAGCGAGACAGAGGCCAGCGCTGGCTATCTCGCAGGCTTGCCCGCGGCGTCGCGGTTTAGCTGAATTCGCTTTAACCCAATCGCAGTCAGGTGACGCCGACGTGGCGGCACACCACAAAATGTTCGAAAGACCCCCCCATGCTCCCGGCGTTGGCACGTACAAACATTTCCGAGGCGTGTGATATCCTTCTAAAATTGACGCAACCATTGGCGATGACAGTACGCGAACAAGCCGTTGCCGTCAGCTGTCCAGCCGTGCTCTTTGGCAATGCAAATCACGCGGATATATCGCACCCATGTTCGAGACCATTGCTCAAGGCTATCGGGCATCGTGGGGAAACCCGAGGGTTTTTCCAGCGAAAGCAGGGGGAGCTGCAGGTGATACCAAACCAAGGGGGAGACATCTCGGCACAACTTAACTTGTAATCAAAAAGGGTAATAATATACCCGCCACAAGGACTTGTCGGTTGCAAGTTCCGGCGGTTCTTCTTTACTTCCATCAAGTGCAGTACAAGAGCGCGCAGATACTTCATCACTCAGTGGTATGGGCATCATAGCTCGACGCTTAGCTTTCGCATTCAAACAAACAAGACTGCCAGTCGAACGGGAACAGGCTTCTCTAGAAGGACATGTTCGGAAAAAAGTTACATATGTGACTACATTACAACCTTCGTTTTCTTGGCTGAACGGGAGAATAACGGACAACTCTCTCCACCACCGACGTCGAGTACGTCTTCTCACTCGCTCGCTGCTCTACGTGGTTCTTGCTTCTCTCACACGAACGCTTCCAAGTGCTTGGTCCTAGTAGGTGTGCCAACACGACACGAAAAATGGCTGGGCAATACTCTACGGCTTTCACAGCAAAACACCTTGGCTGTAGCGACTTTGCTCCTGAAATAGTGCGGCCGTCCGGGATGGACGATAACTCTTGCCGAAAAAAAGGCATCACATCATGGCGCAGAGGCCAAAAATGCGGTACACCAAACAATCGTTACGGAACGGAGACGCTTTCCGTGAAACCTGGCTGTCCCACACGGCCCATGCGCCATGTTTTGGCAGCAAGGGCGAGATGCTGTTTGAGAATGGCGTTTTATCGTTCATATTCGAGGTTTTCCTGAAGCTGTTTCTTGGTATGCGTGCTCGGAGTTCTGGCGCGCCTACGTCAAACACCTCGCCGGTACCTTTCGCCCTCCAAAACTAGCAACTGTGCGGAAGCGTTGCTGGCATTGCGACTAAATGCTGTCCTCTTCCATGCCCCTTTTACCGAAATTCGACCATGGTGTACGGTAGTGGCGGGCAATGTAGGGCCTCTCTTGGTTGCTTCCCGAGTATGGGACCGCAGAAATGAACAAGAAATCTCGCGCATGCAGGTGCGTGGGGGGACAACTACAAATGAAAGTCTACACTGGTCTACATGCAGTCGTTTCGTGTGAAATGCAAAGGAACCCTTGGCCTTCATAGACCTCGGGGATCGTGCTTCCGGCGGGGCTGTCACAAGTCGTGCATGCACTCACTATCACGCTTGAGGAGTGCGGGCAGCTAACGTCGAGTCTACATGTTCAGAGTAGAGCGGAGCCTACCTGTACCTGTGCTGCTGTGCCCCAAAACACACCACAGGAAACTCTTTCCGCGACCCTGTCGCTGATTGGATGTAATGATATTGCTACACTTTCTTTGTTTTCGGAAACCGTATGTGGTGCCTGCCGCCACGACCGTGCATGCAGCTGTTCGGGGCATGACTGATGCCACACATCTCACCTCATTTGCATCTGTCAGAAAAGGGGGGTTCGTATTTACCCTTTATGCGCGGTGTGGGCATTGCTTCAAAGAGAGGGTGGTCAACTAGCCCGGAAAGTCAACTTCACTAGTGCATGTCTACCATGGTTGCATTGATGGTGGGAGAAGCTAGCCTTACAGGAGCGCAAAATTGAGTTGCCCGAGCAGCGGCGCAACAACTGGCGCAAATCTCCCGCTCGCGAGGGTCGGCGCGCGCAAAGCATTGCCAAAGGGTGCAGCTAGAAGGAGGCCAGCCCTCGTACCTAAGGTAGCGAGTTGGAGCTAGGAGTTCAAGAGGCAGGAAAATATGACAGCAATGACAGGACTAGTGTGAGCAACGGCCAGGCAGCAGAAGTCTAAACAGCGGCGCAGCAAGAGCACGAAACACAACAAGGAGAGGGACAGCAACAGCAACCCGCCTCTTTCCTTACCGGGGACAAAGACGTTGATAACCAACAACACGAAAGCCAGCGGCTTGCGGAGCACCGGAGGATCTATGAACGTCTTCCTCGTGATCGCCATGCTTCCGGGAACGGTCGAACCAGCACACAAGTGAGGTTGGTACGATAGGAGAGCGGGAGAGAGCGAGCGGGGGAGCGGGGAGCGGGGAGAGGGCTGCGGCGGAACCTCGAAAAGTGTTCAGAGGTCAGAGCGGAGATTGCGGAGATCAGGAACTGCTGTTCGTTCCGCCGCGTAATTTTGGAATTATTTTTATTTTTCGAAATCGAACCAGACTTCCACTTCACCTGAGTCCCACAATGGAGGTGCACCACGCCCACAACCACAAGCACGAAGCACACAACAGGAGAGGATCAAGGAGAGAACGAACAGGACAATGGCAGGAGGCTTTTGGATGGACCCCCCCACATTCGGCCGGTGCTCCGCTTTCGTGCTGTTCATGGTGAATATCTTTGTCCCTGGTGAGACATCCGAGGTTCAACCAATGTAAATACGGTGAAGCAGGGCAGGGCGGGGCCCCAGCAGCCTGAATCGCTGAAACCAAGCATCGGCATGGGCCGGCTTCCATCAGAAGTTCACCACAAGGCAGCCCAACGGACAAAACGGGCCCACATGTTTGTGCCAGCTGCAGTTTCGCCGATACAATAGCGGCCGTGTCTCGCGTACAGCGAAGAAACAGTTTTACCTCCTCTCAGTGATGCCGCATGCGCAGATGTACAGATTCCATCTGAGAGCACCCACGTGCAAATCGGGTCCCGCCTTGCTTAGAACCAAGAGAAGACCACACCAACGGGGACATGCAGAAAGGAGATAGGCCCATAATCTCGTCGGCATCGCACCTAGTCGCACGTCCCAGGTCTTTTGCGTCTCGAACACACCCGGCGCAGCTGTGTGGCCGTTACACGGTTTGATCGGATTTTTTTTTTGTCGTTTTTTCGTCCAACAAGCTGACGCGCACAACGCATCACCTCCCACACCTGTTGTTGGCGGTGTCCTCCGCCGCGAGAAAAATATGCCCGTAGGCAAGTTTGTCTGCCCCCACGACGGTATTGCTTGGCTGTCCCTACCGACGAGCACACAAACTCACCGAAAAGTACCCATGGTGGTGGGTTGTACTCTGCTGCATCAACACAGAAATCGCAATAATAATATTGTAAATCGACGACAAAGAGCAAAGAGCGGTTTCGGTCGGGCGGGTCCGGCAAGGTGGACTCGGACTGCAGAGCCTAGACAACCACCCGAGACAAGACGAAAGTTGCCTCCAATGTATTTTGATTGATTCATCGTACATCCTTTGTGGCGCGTATCATGGTTGAGCGATGACGGCAATTCCGAGTTTGTCAGTTTGTCAGCCGCAACACGTGCATTGCGTCGGCCTCATCTTACCACAACCTGGCTGGGTGCAAGGGGATGTCAGCCAGAAAATATACCAAGAAAAAGAGAGATGTTACACGTATGTACTTTCCTCGGCGTCTGGTGGTCGCGTTGAACCAACCCCTCCGACAGAGCGTGGTATCTTTGTACCGTCTACAGTAGTAGTGCGGTTCGTCAAGACAATCTATAGTATCATCTACATTTTTATGTCGTTGATCCGATGTGTTGTGTTGTGGGGTTCACACGCGTAGCAGTCCGCTAAAGCCCCTGATGATGACGACTCACTTGGATGTTAGTGTTTCTCCCTCTCTTGATTAATCCTATCACTGCTGCACACTTGCTGACTCCTGCTTCAGATAGACTGAACAGAATGGCGCTCCTTGCTGGGAGGGGGGACGCTATATCCCTTGTTTAGCAACAATCCAAGGGAGTTACAGTTCCCGCCAGATCTAAATATCTTGCTTAGAACCGCTCAGATCCTTATTCTCAAAATCGCATGACGGTTGAGTCTGCCACGAAGTAATTTGTGTGAGATTCGCCGTGTCGGTTACCCGTGCAGTCTACGTTGACCACTGCCGTCCTACATACCAGCTACGGTAGATATGCATTGACTCCGCGTTTCAAATATTTACCGTCGTCGTTCGAGGTTCGTTTGGGCAAGTCTCCGAGTTTGAGCAATGGGTCTTCCTGTAGGTTGTCGGCTGTGGAGATTACGGGAAGAGAGAGAAACAACAACAACAACAACATGACATCATAGACAACACCAATAACCACGATGAGAGCAAACGAGCAACAGCGACAATAACAGTACGAGACACAAGCACCATCTAGACTGTCCAAAACGAACGTTGGGACCAACACCCCGCCTTGTCTTTTCGCGCTGCAAGCTCTCGCCCGGGGCAAACTCCAATCCCAGTGTCTCTTTCTCTACTCCACAAATAATTTTTCTTGGCGCAAGCATTGAATCCATGCGGCTGTCCTCGGGCACCAAGTGGATATACTCGACAAGAGTGGAAGAACTTGTCGAAGACTTAGAAGATTGAGAGTAACAGTGAAGCAAAACTCTTGCTCCTCTGGGATGACCTCAGGTGCATGTCCTCTACCACCCAGTGAGACGTTCTAACGACGTCGTTACTCTCGGGAGGCAAGGGTTTCACGTGCGGAGGCGGCTCAAGTAAAGCTCAATATCGACTAAGATCAAGTAAAGCTCAATATCAACTAAGAAGCTATGGACATGATGTTTGAGGCGTCACCCCCCACACCGGGACATGCAGAATGACCACATCGGAATGCAGGAGCGGCTCTATGCAGCAGCGACAGCTTGGTAAAAAAGATGCGATGCGAGTCCCTCCCACGTCAACGAAAATACTTTCCCTTCCCCGGTCGACGCATTTTCATGTTGAGTTTGCCGTTTCGCCGCCGTGCGGAACTTCAAGCTCGCTGTGGTTTTGGAGTGTAGACAGCAAACAGACACATTTTCTCCATTCAGAATCGATCCTGAAGCATCTTTGATTTTGTATAGACCTGGCAGTCTCAAGCCCGCCAACCGCAATCAGAAAGCAACAGGGTCGAATTGTCACTACATCGGTGGTGGCATGGAGGCTTGGTATCCATCCCCTAATCGGTCACTTGTTACCCTCGGTCCTGGTTTGCTGCGATATCGATTCAGGGGGTGGTTCCGATGCCGTATTCCGGTCCACTTTCCCCGCACGGTTTATCTTTTCTACTACTGTATTTCTTCACGATTCCCCATCCGGAGTAGTTCACAGGGTGTGTATCATTCAGACACCGTGCAATCAATCGATTTGACACCACGGTGAGAAGTATGGTTGTTGTAGATCCAGATCCTGAAAACAATGCATTGCGTTTTTCCTTGCATCCGTCGCAGTCAGTACATCCCAGACTTACTTGGCAATGGCAGCAAAATTTTTGACATGTCAGTAGTTTCACTCAACACACACTAAGTTCGATCATATTATTCGGGCTTCCGAGCATTGATCACGCGCTTGGTGATGTCGTACGCGTTGTGCCGGGCTGATGCAGCCCTCGTCTCCGTGCCACACAACTCACTCGAGTCAGGTGTACTCATCTAAGCCAAGCCGCGGAGAGCGCATCGCAACTTTTGCACGAATCTCTGCTGAATCAGCCGCGCTTTTGGCCACGAAATCCGGGCACATGCAACCATTTTCACCGATGCCCACAATGTTCTGTTCCCTTGAGTTCATGGCCACCTTCCCACCCTCTCCCGTCCACCGTGCCCCCCGCGCACCGCACATACAGTATTGTGTGTGTCCCCATCTTGCTAACACCCAACACGCATGCCGCACATTCCATGGGAAAATGTGAACAATGCACCAGGAGCTGGAACAATCATCGCTGGAATCTGCACGTGCAGCCTGAAGAATGTGCTGGTCGGCATCTTGCAGATGGTGACCGCCCCGATAGTGATCGGATGGGTGTGGTCGATCCTGTGGGGCTGGGAGCTCTGGCAGATCGCCAGGGGAAAGAGGCGCCCACCCCTTTCCGCTAGCGCGGTTTGATCACCTCCAACAGAACAGCCGCGCCCGGTGTTCTCGCTGGCAAGGTGTTGCTGAAACTCTCGCCGATCGACGGGACTGCCTTTGATCCAAGCGTATTCCAGTAGAACAAAAGTACGCCTTTGAAGAGACGCTCGACCTGCCTTGCTTTCTAGGCGTTTGTATTTTGTGTCGCGGACAAGTCCGTCCGAAAGTGATTTTTCAAGTATGTTTTTTGCGGGTGGGTGTGTTTTGGTTTTGGTTTTGGTCTGGTTTTGGATATTTCTAGTTCAATCTTGGGGAGAGGCCCCAGCATTACATTGAGTGTCGGCAATTTGTATCGGGGGGGGGTGTGAGCCACGCAAGGCGCGACTGTGCATGCAGCGGGACCTCGGTACCAATGTCGTGGGTCTCGTTCGTCACCGGGTCCACATTACCGTTGTCGCTTGACGCGAGACATTTTCGCCAAAGGCCACCACAACCAATATTGGCTACTTGTACAATGTCTGGACAGAGCGTGCGTTGCAGGTTTGCAGGTTGGACGCGGCGCATTTTTTCTCGTAAGTGTAGTGGTGAGGATTTACCGTGCTCGAGAACGGTATTGCTCAGCTGGCGACAGAGAGTCAGTACGTTTACTTCGAGTAGCTTTGACTTTCTGTCGTTGGCTGCTTTGGTGCTCAAAGCATCTGTCACGATACCTTCCGGAAACGCAGACGAAAACATTTTTGGTATGTAGAGGGGGGATGTGACGACCAAGGGCGAAACGTATGAAATTGGTATGGTTGGCGGCGATGATTCCTGTCCCACTTCTGTAACCAGGCGGATACAGGCCCAAGAGTTATGTTCCTACCCTGACGTTTGAAATTTTCACACCCCCTCACCCCCCCACACGCTCCTGCCAACGTGGCGGGGTCGATTTGGTGGTGCTTCTTCGTCACTTACTGCTTAATGTGTTGCTGGCGCTGTCTATCGAACGGCGTTCTCTCATGTGTTGCATTCTTTCGCCTGGTTCCCGGAAGCCCCGATGATGGCGCCATATTGGGAGTTGCTCTGCAGACTAATGGGTAGCGTCCATGTTGTAGTCCCCTGAGCTTAAGCCACAGGGAGGCGAAAAGAGGTTGAATCATGCATGTATGTACTAGTGTTCGGCAGAAGCATCGTACAGAGTGAGTTCACTACTGTAGTTCGCCGCCCTTTGGTTCAACCGTATGATGTTCCGTGCTTTCGCTCTTTGTATCTTCGTGACATGGTGTGAATTGGTGGCGAGTAACTCAACCCGTTCTCCTGTGCCCTCTCCGTCCCTTGCGTATCGTTGGTCAATGGCTAAGTTCTTCTTCTCTTGCTCGCAATATTGTGGCAATTTTCCTGAGAACCCTGAAGGAATTCATCGTTCTAGTTTTTTAGGGGAACAGCCACAACCAACAACAGATAGATCGCGGGGTCGACTGTGGGGCTCTTCGCGACACCACGACCGCACAATGGCAGGTTTATTTCGTGCGAACCCCCGGCCGCGCTTTAGAACCTCCTATTTCGCAACGCTGGAATAATTTCCTCGGTGGGTAGGGCAGCTACTGTTTGGGTAGCAATTTGCTTCGCAGTGTTATGCTTCGAAATACTATTATGAAACAACCGTTTCGTTACGGCCGTGTTCCTGTACTTGTGTACCGAACAGCAAATGCGAGTGGACATAATGTTTGTATAAACGTTGCGCCATGAGTAACGGTCATGTTCCTCATTACAAGTACTGAACCGCAAGTGCGGGAGGTGACTGTACAACATACCTCTGAACCTCGACTCGTGGCATCAACCGTTCGAGTGCAAAAGGAGCACACCATGATACGGAACTGAAAGAAGTACCACTCATCGTGCTGAATGTATCGAGTGAATGCAAAAGGTGGATCGAAAAAACAACACCAAACAGGACGCGAACAACCTCTAGTCCAAGCGAACCAGGTTCCAACGCGATGCCTCGTCCGGTTTCTTCAAAGTTGCACCAATAGACTCCACACGGCAACACAGCTAGCTGTTGTCCGACGCTTGCTGCGAAAACGCAATTTACCATGTATGTCTTGGTGAAGAATTGGATCGGGTTGTGAGAGATCCAAAAACTGTTCCGGGAAGGAACTCATTCGCGAGAACATGTAGGCGAGGACTGTTGTTGTTGAGATTGCTGAGGAACAAAAAACGGGTGCCGCTACGCAACGCGGTGGGGCCGTGGTTTTCGGGAGAGGCGTCGCCCTTTCCCACCGTTTCCTTGGCTCTTGCCGCGGAAAATAGAGCCAGTAGAGGTCATCAGAAATACAGTTCCGAGTTGATACAAACCGGATCTACATGTATGCGGGAGCTCGTTTTGTCTCAACCCTCCCAGAAATGTGAAGACCGCAACGACATAAGACACGTTGTTTCCCTCGACATCCTTTGTTCAACTGTTGTTGTGGACGGCAGCAAATCACGGCCCTAAGCTCACATTGGGATATCGGCGATGCTGCTTCACTCGAACGAACGCAAGGCCTTCCGCAGAACGGCGGCGGCCTACACCAAGGAGCTCATTGCGAAGCTAGAGCTCACGAATACCGATATCGACAGCCAATGGGAAGCACTCGAGCTGGGACGGCAACAACACCAGGAGCAGTTGCTCGAAATCGGATTCAGGCCGAACACCAGAGATGAAGGTGTGCTGAGAATGAACATCGGTGGTTCGCCCGCCCACGTGCACCGTTCTCTCATCGCAAAGGCTGGGCGGGAATCTGCCTTTGGGGCCTTGGTTGGTGGTGTCTGGGACAAGAGAGTTCCCCGTGATGCAGACGGCCGCATCGTGCTGGACGAGTCCCCAACCTGCCTCAAGCACATCATCCACACCCTGTTCAACAGCTCTGTCACGCCGTCGGTGAGTGGAGAACAACGTTCGCGTTCCGCCGTGGCTGCGGACGAGGAGGTCAACCTGATGTACGTTTCACATGTGCTGGGGTTGTCAGCGGCCATTCCTACGTTCCAGAAGCGCATGTTGGTGGAAGGCGGTAGCGTAATCGCCGGCAGCCCTTTCGATATTCCGGTATGGAGTTCCACGATTCGAGGCTGGTGCCCAGAAGACTCCAATGGACTTCGGCTTCTCTACCGCGCATCCCGAGATGGGTTTTCCTCCGAGAAGTTCCGCCGTGCCGTCGGCAACATCTCCATGACGATAGCCCTGGTTCAAGCAAAGGCTCCTAGGTGGAGGAACCGAGAGCGCCAGCATCGTTGGCGGCTACTCCGGTGGGGCGTGTTGGCACCCACCGAGTACATATGACGGACGACGATGGTCGAACTCGGCCTTCATTTTCATGCTCGATTCTCCGGAAGAAGACTTCGAACCAGTCAAGTGGGGTGTGAAGTCTGGCAGCCAAGGAAATGCACTAAGCTGTTGTCGTGACAGCTCTTCCCAATCCTTCAGGCCCTGCTTCGGCAATCACGACATGCGCGTGGACTTCCACCCGACCACCGGGTGCACCCTGTCAACTGGACGAGGAACATACGATGTCGACGGAGAATCCACCTTTCTGGCTCTCAATGGTGGACTTGTCCTGGACGTCGAGGTGTTCGAAGTACGTTCGGTGCCAGAGCAAGTGGAGACCCCGGCCTCTTCCGAAATCATGTCTTGGGATCAACACATTCCTGTCGACCAATCCCTTGCGGCGGAATATACTCTGGAGTTCGGGGAATCTATCGCCGACCTGCTGATGGAGGAACTCATGGCCCTAGCATACGCTCGGGTGGAGCTCGACGAGGCGGCGGCCAGGGCCAGAACCGTTGCTCGAGCCCTGTGCGTCATTTACGGTCCCCACGTGGCACGGGGGGAGGAGGATCCCGTGGTGGAGCTGAATGTCCGCGGGCGATCCATAACGACCCTGTATTGGACGCTGCATGCTTGCACGGACTCTGTTTTCGCCGCTTGGCTCGCCGAGAGATGGTCGGGTGGGAAGGGCGTGGACGAGGACGGGCGCTACAAAGTCAACTGCGATCCCAGTTGTTTTTCGAAGATCCTGGATGTGATGCGCATGAGGAAGCGGGCTGGCTGGGCAGAAGATGATGAGATTGTCAAGAATGCCGGTGGCGGAGACACTATCCGCGTGAGGGTATCCGAGGCAGACCGCGAAAACTTTGAAGACGCCGTCAAGATGTACTTCCCCAACTGCACGAGGTTCGTAATGGATTTGGTGAGGTTCACGGAATAGTGACGAACAAGGTGAGCATGTGGAGTGCGAATGAAAAATGTGAAGTGCGCGTGAGAAGTGTGAAATGCGAACGAGCGTGCTCCTTCGGCTCCCTGTATGGGTTTAGGTGAGAGAGACTGAGTAAGCCATATTTCCGATAGGTTGCAAAACAGCACTGACAAATGATTCATTCGCAATTTCTCCGATCCTTATAGCAATGGAGACTGGAGTCACACAATGTTGCCGGAAGGATTCAGACCGCAAACCACACTTTTCGTCTATTTTTCTCATGGTCGGTCTCATGAAAAATGACCACCTGGATCGCGTGTGAATTACCGTTTGTTTGCGTATGCTTGGTTTCGTATGAAGTTCGTTCAGATTCTCAAGAACGTGCAATTTCTTGCGATTCACAACGGAGGAGTTTCAAGGGAAGTGCTCAGAATTATTCGGGGACGCGTCTGGACGTGGTCAGAATTGTCCCATATTGTTTGAAGGACATAACAATCTGCACCGATGGATTCCTTACGATGACGCAGTGTGTCGGGTCATTGAGTGGGTGAAGGCTCAGGTCTTGATCGGTGTGCATCTCTCGCGAGGGAGAAAAACTCTCTGCTCAAGAGAGCCGCTGGACTTCAGCGACACATGCTACTTACTGAGTGATATCGAAGTATTTTTTTGCCCTCACAAAGACACATAGTTGCACTAAATCATTCCAGTGATCAAACAACCAGATTACTGGGGGCATTCCCGCATTTACTGTCGTACTCGGGCCCGCCTCCTTTTCAAAAACTAACGGCTTGCATGCTCCGGAACTAGCTCGCTTCTGCTTGACTGGGCGATTGATTCATTCTCATGACCGGGCACCCTTGTTTCACATATTGCCAGATGGCGACTCCGACCGCCTACCCCATGTACATATGGACCCCGCAAGGAAACATCATCAGAGTCTCAATACCCCGTGTGATGGCGACACGTCCGAAGCTAGCGTTTGGAGACGAGCTCGGGGACATCATCGTGTTCGAGAGGATTTGCAAGGTGTTGCAAGCACGAATCTCACGATGTTTCCACCCCGTTTTTTTTTTTCAGGCACAACAGTATTTGGCTGTTTATTATCTGCGAAAAACTGAAATTTAGTCCTCAGATGTGTGTGACCCGGTCGCGTATCCAAACGTGCCCGGAGAACAGAGGCGGGTTATTTCACACCCACGAGTATCAACAACAAAACCGCCATGCTCCGGCGAGTTTGTCAGATAAACTGCAGAATAGGATGAACGGGGATGGAGCAGCCAAGCAGAAGGAAGGGGTAGAACAGAGAAGTAGCAGGATCGAATATATGGCAAATGGGGGTAGAGCAGCCACGTAGTAGATACGATGTTGGGCTACATTTCAGAACCAATCTGGCGTAGCGTGGATTCACGTAGGGCACATCGAGTTTCACAGTGGGCAGAGGTGACTACTGAGCAGGGGATATGGAACAACAGTTATTCTTTGCAGTACCCTAACTCTCGTTGCAAGAGAGCAACTAACAAGCCAGGATGGAACGGAATACGTATAACACGAGAGTGGAAGTGTCCACATTGCAAAAAGTGGTAGTGTCCCTGATGCATCGATGAAGCGCATCAATGGCATTCCTGTATACTGTAGTGCAACGACAGGACCGGTCAATCCATGTCTATTCTGTAGCTCGGAACGATACGCAATATTGTGGTTCAAAAATATCGACTTATCGTGCTGACAAAGACAGTGTCATATTTTGCGCAAGAGCGCAGGCAAGCACCGATCATGTTGACAACAAACGTCATCATTAACGAAAGATCGGACGCCCACGCATCCCAGGTGAAACACTGTTTAGTGTTAAAGGGGTAGCACGTCGTGTAACAGCCCACCCACGAGTGGTGCGGCACGGCACTCGCTCCCGGTGTCACACGACAAGCCCCTACTAATACCGCACCCGGGCGATGTAATCGCTCATGTGCGGCCGCCTTGTTCAAGTCTACCAGAACCCTCTTCATGAAAGAACGCCACAGACCGAGACACATCCGAGAAGTGTGGACAAACATCTTGTCCGTACGGGTATCTCCGACAACTCACAGACGGGCAGAGCTCGTTTACCCAAACCGACCACAGAAATTCCCGAAGTAGTTAGACCTCTGAATTTCTTGCTGACATCGCAGCTGACAAGACTTGCATCGCCACAGACTGTCCCACACGGATGCCGTCAACGGCAGCGCTCACGATTCCACCTTCAACATCGCCAGAAAATATTTTGTGGAAAACGTATCGAAGGCAGCAAGGCAGAGAAAGCACACTGAGGGCGTAGGATGCATATAATGTGAACGTCGAGCCAGGAATGCGGTCGAACAAACGGTACCTGTCAACACTAACGACACAATATGCCGGCCTTCAACGAAATCGTGTAGGCTTGCTTTCGGTGATCCTTCAGGCGTCAATGCAAGTAGCCAGAATACAGGTCGACTCCGGCATTCTGCCCTTGGCTACTGTAGCCCTCCTCGAGTGAGTCGGCATGACTAGAACCAGCAATACCATCGTTACGCTAGACATACCATTGCATTTCCTCCCCAATGGCAGCCAACATTCGACTGGAAGGACTGAATGTTGCATGGATGGAAACTAAACTACACCACTTCATTGAAACCCCCCGCGGCATTCAAAACGAGAGCAGTGTGCATATGCATTCTCACCAGCGTATCCCGCGCCTTCTCCCGTGGGGAACAAGCCTTCCATCGACGGACACTCCAGCGTATCAGCATTCCGCTCCACCTGACCCAAGGCACGGGGCACCCGAAAACAGATGTGACGGAATGGGTTGATGGCATATTTCCTCAATGCTGCAGGTGGGTTACAGGGACGATCTGGCCATGTGGCATAGGTCTCAAGAGCCAGATCGCAGAAATGTGAAACCGTGGCATGCAATGGTGCGTACACATCAACTTCGCTGTACTCCGCAGTGGGGCACAAGCTTGCGGATGCATGAAAAGCCAACCTACAGCGTCCCATCAAAACTGCGATCGGGTATCAATCTCTACGCATGGTTCCCGAATGGCTTCATTCCTGCTCGGTTACAACTTTCGACTGGAATAACAATTCAGCTCAACTCCCCTTGGAGGAATCGCCAAAACTGAAGAAGAAACAGGGCTCTCCGTTTTCCGTCGCCCACATTCGTAGAAGGAAAACTTTCACTCCCACAACGGTCGCCATGGAAATCATCCTAACGCATCTATCTGCACGTCTTCAAGTCCCCAGAAACGATTCACCACCCCACACAAGCATGGTCTGCTAGAAGCTCGCCACACACCGCCGGCACTGGTAGTCTTTCCCGCTGGATTTACCTGCACAGGAGAGCTCGTCCGAGTCTCAACTCCGTGAAGCAACGCCTCGTCGCACACGAAGCCTGGCATGCGTCTCTCGAAAGCCTCCAAGGCTTCTCGGAGACCCTCCGTCACGTACGACGGGTAAAGCTATCACCGTTCACGAGAAAAGGGAGAAAATAACCGTACAGCAGCAAGGATGAGTGACAGACAATCAAGGCAGTTGACAAGACGCATGTTGTGGGTAGAGAGTGACCTGGCCGCCCGCAGAGATCCCGGACAACATCAACACCCCCTCACACAGAGTCCTGTATTCAATCCTCCACACGTAGACTGCGACACATCTATTGTCGACAAGTATGCCCGACGGGCAGTCAGCCTTCCCATGACACTATCAACAAGAAATACGTGCATGTACGGAAATTTTCGCTCGACATCCGGAAGAAGAAGGGGTGTGAAATGCCGAACATCAGTTGCTACATTCCTGGTGAAGGCTTCACTCAGTTCATCGTAGATCTCATCGTAGATCTTACATATCTCATCGGAGATGTAGGTGCTCACCTCGTGCAGAGGCCCCGCTCGAACCCCCAACCGGTAGCTGGAGGATGGCAAATCGGCGTCCCGCCCAGAAGAACCCGCCATGAAGTCCGTTACGCGCTGAACCGGAACAACTGACGTGACGTTTCGGTTTCGGTTCCGTTGGCGTTTGGGCGGAGGGGGGCGCAGAAGATCGAACGGGGCCGGGGGCGGACTGGGTCAGCTAGGAGGAAAGTAAAAGTCGAAGAGCGCGAGGTATATCGGTAGTGCAAAAGCGGTGAAAAGAGTGAAGCATAATTTGTGTAAGCTGGGATCGGAGCAAATCTGGAAAAAAGGGATACAACCTCAACGACGCCAACTTCCGACTTGTTTTGTACACGTTTCGTCAAGTTTCCTCGAGAGCTTAGTTTCTTCCAGAAACTCAATCCAGCATCGACCGTTTCGTGCGCGTCCAAGCGTTTGCGTGTTTCTGATGTTCTCGAGCGTGCTCGCAAGTGAAGTGCTCCCTTCTCTGTTGCACGGGACAACAGCTGTAACATTCTGCGCCTACTCAGCGAACATCCCTCCGCGCCCCAACCTACCCTCCATCCGCATGAACGCCACTCGTCTCCAGGCCCCATGCCACCAGGGACGCCTGTCACCGTCTTTTCCGCCTTATTCGTGCATGCCCCAATCCCCCCGAGAAAAAACAGCTACCGTCTGTACTCCAGTGTTCACCAGTTCTCGAGAAACTTTACATGACCCGGAGATCTGCAACCAACGGGCGTGCCGAGTTCCAACGGAGACTTGCTCAGATGAATGAACATGGCCGGCGTCTTCTGTTGTGGTCAAAGCAACAATGCCTTCGTCTTACCGAGATTTCCGCCGCCCATCTCCGCTGCTCTTCTCTCCATCGCCGACTGCCACCTCACCCCCCTGAGAGGACCATTCCCAGCTTCGGCCCCCTCCAGTGCGAAAACGTCATCGGCCACGTCTTTCGGGCTGAGGGATACGACGAGGGCGGCGTTTGCCCACTTAGACTCACGCTTGGAGAAGCTCATGCCGTTCACGCACACCTGTGCGGTACGTGCGGTAGACCAAAGCCAGGAGGGTGGTTATGCTTGATGCTTGATGATGGAGAAAGGGTAGGATGGAAGGTGGGAAAATACCAGATCATTCACAGGGGAACAAGAAATGTGAAATGGCGATTTGATGCTTATCCATCACAGCTAGTGGCTGAGTTCAAAGACTCTCATGCATGGGGTCAAATACGTATGCTGGCCCTGCCGCAGTCACCTCAACTGACACGGGCTTAAACTCAGCCACGGGGGGGCTCCGGGCCAACAACCACACACCTCCTTGGGGTCGACGCTCGTCGGCACTACCTGCCCCCCCGGGCACATGCAGAAGCTGTAACAGCTTCGGTCCTGGTACCCTCGTTTCGCCGACCCTTGTCTAGCCTCATCAGACTTGTCAGCTCCGAGCGACTGGGTTAATCTGTAGTCAGCCACGGGCACCTGAAATTCCGCGAGAGAAAAAGGGGAGGCGAACAACATGAATGTTCGGGGGAGATGGAATTGTTAGGCTACTCGATGCGTTTAGTGAACTCCTGCAAAACTTCCAACAAAATAAGTGGTGTTATCACCGGGGGGGGCAATCGTTTCTACACAAGAACACGATAGTGGGTGATTCAGAAATTGTTTCCCCTTGCATGAATATGGACGTGCTGATGATCCCACCGGTGTCAATAATAACATGGTGAACGGACATCAATACTCTAACCACGCGCTTAAGGGGCGTGACCAAAGCAAACCACACGAAAACTAGCTGCATTCTTTCAGAACTCAACACACTTTTCCCTTGCCCCTGTCGACCATCGAAGCGATCTCGGCTCCGTATCTCAGCTCGTTGATCATCTCCTGCAACGTGTTCACAGGCCGCGTGGACAACAGGGGATCATCAGAAAATACACATGATAATATCGTTAAACTTGGCGGTCTTACTCTTTGCTGAGGACGAGTAACCCACATGGCGGTACATACCGTTCCAAACATGTGAAGATTGAGACCCAGAAAAAAGAAGCTTCCAAAGACCTGCAATTGCACACCCGGTTGTTGTCGTGGCCAGAACGACCACACACCCCGCCGCCGCGAAAAGTGTCTACTATTGTAGCTCGGGCAAAAAACACGGAAGGAGTGAATCGAACCACGAACTCGTCACGCCGACACTTTTCACCACTACTCTATTGGACGCCCAGCAAGTTCCACCGTTTTCTCTCATAGCTTTAATTGGCATGTAGCATGTAGCATGTAGCATGTAGCATGTAGCATGTAGCATGTAGCACGCAGCATGTAGCATGTATCATGATGCATGTGGCATGTAGCATGTGGCGAGCAATCTACACCGTGGTTGACCGTCAGGTGCAAAGCGTGTCAAAGAAAACAAAGAGAAGGAAATCACTCTACCAGGAAAACAAAATACCATTCCGTAGGGGGTATCCTTTCGGACGTCGAACGAATCCAAAACACCGTAGAACATCACCCACGCACAGGTATCCACCGACATTTCACCTGTGGGTGCTCGATTCGGAACCCGACCGCGATGCCCTTGGCTTCAAGGCTCACTCCGGAGTCTAGCAGCCTCTCGTACAGGGGCCTCGCGCTGTGGCCAACGGCCAGGATAACCCTATTCGTTGTACAATTAGCCAATACCACGCAATACCATCAGCATCAGCATCAATACAGGAATACGCAATAGGATCAGCGTCAATCCAGGAATACGCATAGCATCAGCATTCGGAATTTACACAAGTATTTCGCCAGGGCCCATCGGGACTTGTCTACCTTGGCGCTGTTGCTGAAATCCAATTACATATCGTAAGCATGCGCGTGGCCCTCGAACTCGGTAGCCCGATGAGGGCAATGGTAGCCGCTCCCTTTTGACTTTTGGCCACGTAAAGGACCCTGCCACCCCGAACTTGCACGCAAAGTCGGCACAGAGAAACAAACGCGAACACAGGGGTTACGTACGCCTCCCCCTACCCCTTCCCTGAGCGATGAAAAATACGGTGAGTGATCCCGTATTGTAGCAGTAAGGAACCAATATTCCAAAACAGATGCAACATCAAACGGTGTTGGCAAGATAAAAGAAGGTGCACCAAAGGAGAATCCTTGAGTGCTACGTCACATCCGCTTAGACCCGTCATGCGCTAGAACACTACCGTCCAAATCTCAACTGGTGGAGAAGAGGCAAGCAACCCCGGTCCCTACGGTCCCTACGTGTAACGCACCTGTCGGCAAGAATCTCACTCCCGTCCGCGAGCTTGAGACCGCTAATTGCCCCCCTGTCGCCGCCGCCTCTGGTGAGCAAAGCCTCAACCTTGGTGTCGAAGCGGAACGTGGCCCCTCTCTCGATAAGGAAGGCTCGCATGTCCCGAAGGATTCGGACCAGCCTGGGGGGTGGGAGAGCGTTTAACATTGTGGGATAAGCTCTCGTGGTGATGTTGTAGCAAACGTGGTAGATTGGTGCCATTCAACCGCACACCTGTTTCTAGGTAGTGGTGGGGTCAAGCGTGTAATACTTCAAGTCCGCGAGAAACTGCTGTTGGTGCCTTTCGACCGCACACACGTCTCGAGGTACCGTAGCCGGGACGGTAAATGTGTCACTTCAAGCAAGCAACTGCTGCTGTTGCTGCTGTATCAGTGGACCTAAAGGGCTGGCCAAGACAAAGGTACACAGCAGCTCTTGCACTCCAAGAAAGAAGCAGCTGCGCCGAGACAATCGTATGTCTCTACCTCACCATCCGCATTCAATGTCCATACGTATAGGGCGACAAAACACCGAGATGGGCCCGTCTTCCCAACCGGCCTCCGACAAACCCGCCGCCGTCCTGCCGCCGTCCTGTATGCGCTACGAATCACAACCTCGGACGTATCATCCGCCACAACATGCTGGCAAGTCTGCCGCATATGCACAGCGTCCTGACTTCGCCACGTCGTGTGACGACGAACCCCGACAACCTACAAGTATGTCACATTCAGAGCCAAGCCTATCAACAAGCGCGGAGCAAAAGACACGAGAGAGAACACAAAAATCACCTATCGGTGCCAAGGTGAGGCTTGCCGTCCACAAGGATACGCTCGGGCGCGCCGTGAGCCACCAGTGTCTCCAGCACCTTGGAAGGCAGGCAAGCAAAGCGGTCCGTGGAGAATGAAAGACGACGGGCGCAAACGTGAATCCAACACACACGCGCGGGCACGCCATTGGCGCGTGTTTTCGTCGACAGAGCGGTAGCAGTGGCGTGCCCCGTGTTTTTGATCTCCTGAGCTACGTGTTTTGTTGCCGTACGCCGTGTAACGGACACCTCTGGGTTCCAGCCAGCATGAGATGCTTCCATGGACTGTCGGGGAAACCCGTCAACTCGAGGTTCATGTGGTCAACGGGGACCCTGGAAAACAAAAAACAAAACAAATGTGAACCAAAACAGTGAGACGTACTTCACCAACCAGACCGGCTGAAATAGGTCGAGTTTAATCGTCATTCGGTGGGACGAGGCACGCAAGAGACAGACAAAAAAGAAAAAGAGCCATCTGAAATGACGCTGTTCACCCCACGCGTTTTCCTTCTTCACTGCCGAGAAAACGCTTGGGGGCAGTTGTGCTCCCTCCAACTCCAGGGGGGACGTCAAAGGTAGGAAAACAAAGAAATAATACAAGTCTTCCAGAAGGTAGAAGGTAGCAACATAACACGTATCCGACAAGAAAAAACGTCGTCTATCGAAGCCGAGGAGCACGGTAGAATGCGATCACTAAAGACAGCCCCGACCATAGCCTCATGCAACATACAACTCAGGCGCGGCGACTGCAGCATGTCACCTTCCTGACGTTCTCGCTGTTCCTGCCAATCCTGGTGGTGAGCTTGCCGTCACTCCACGTCCCAGCGCCGCCCTCTCCGTAGCACAAGTTGCTGTCTGGGTTTAAGATGCGCCTATGGAACAACGCCCCTATCTCCCGGCCCCTTCTTTCAACCGGCCTGACGTTTGGAGTGATCGATCGAACCAAAGAATAACATTTTTTTTCGAAATTTTGGCACTGTGGTTGATGAGCGTTGGGGGTATGAGACAGAGACGAAAGCAATTATGGCAACAATGTCCAACAGACAACACAATGACGGTTTGCAATGAAAAAAAACAATAAAACAGCAGCAAGTAGGCCAGAGGTTCGCCATGCGGGGCTCAAAAAGAAAGAAAGAGAAGCCACTGCAACAGCCTTTCCATAACTCACGTGCAACCTCCTATCAACACACACCATACTAGGAAACAAGACACAAATATTCCCTCCAGCGGAGCGGCTACCGACGCCCTGCAGAGCGTCTCACATGCCACGCTCTACGATGATGGGCTTCATGCCGACCTCCACCAGCTCCAGCGCGGCGAACAAACCAGCAGGCCCGGCCCCGACAACCACAACCGAAGGCCCCCCCCCACCCCCCCCCGTCGCCACCGGCGGCGCCCCCGCTCCCTCCATCACATCGCCCTCAGCCGCGCCGGCAGCGGCGACGACAGCGGCATCGGCGGCGATGGCTTCAGCAGCGACGGCAGCCGAAGTAGCGTCGGAGAGAGCGGCCATCCTAGACACTGCCGCGGAGGTAATGTCCGGGGAGATGTCCGAGAAGACGGAAGAGTCGGAGGAGGGGGAGGCCGGAAAGAGCGGTCCGCCCGACGGCGAGGGCTCCAGCTTGCCCTGAATAGAGAGGTGAGTTCGGAATTGAAATGACGGAGGAAGGGTTGTCGGTCTCAAGAGCAGGAGCACCGGCAGTGGCAAAAAGGGCAGTCGTAGCAGCAGCGGCAACGAAAGAAGTTATGCCCCACAGAACAGGAGGAGGGTGTTGTGGTGATGGCGATGGTGATGGAGGTGGACACAAAAGGAAGAACGGGAACGGGACAACGTGAAACAGGGGAGATAGACATCATCCGAGAGAGAGAGAGAGAGAGAAGGTAGAGAGTAGAAGAGAGGGGGGAGCACGGAGACCGAGACAAGGTACTCACGAGAGCCGCACGATTAATAGGATGAAAGCCGTCCGTCCGGTATGTCGGCGAAAACGCAAACATGCTCTCCACGATAAAACCAACTTGGCCGTCGCCCATGCGCCCACCTGCCCGGTAATACAACTCGCTGCCCTTCCTCTCCACTCACCTGCACCTACTCTAATGGCAGAAAAAAAGCGGAGTCAACATCGCAAAATATATACCGTACACCGCACGGTACTAAACAACGATCAGAAAAAATGGATATGACGACATCCAGTGCGTTTCAGCTGTACCAAGGTGTAGTTGGACAGAGTACCGCCGTGGCAGCAACAGTAGCAGTTGCTGTACTATACAACGCGAGTAGTGAAGGGAAGCAGGACTCAACAACTACCCATGACTCGTCTTGTTTACCCACCCTACCTGCTTCGTCCTCAGCCGCAGTTTTCTCGCCGTTTTCGGAGACAGCCGGACATCCAAGGTGTAGGAGAAGCGCGGCTCTGCATCCTGCCCACGAGAAGGCGTTTTGACGTAGGGGTGATGTCGGGCGAACCGGGGGGGAGGGGGGGGGGGGGGGGTCGACGGCAAACGAGAACTGTTGATATGTCGCAATGGCATCCGATAGGAACAACAAGCATTCCTCGCGACACATCCAAGGTAGAGGTTCCGTCGAGTCAAGAACCACTGCAGCAACAACACGGAGGACGGTGCTGCTGCTTGACAGCCACGAGATTATCCCGACAGTTCAACACGAACATGGTGGCACGATGGCGAGAAAAAACAACCCCAGCAGACACAGGGGCTGAACTGTAGAGAATGCCTTACGCCGGCCAATCACCTTCTTCGTCCTGGCGTCGAACGACTTGCGTGCCACCACCACGTCGGTGTCGGCCAACATCCCTTCGTCCTTGATCCCTAGCCTGCCAGCGACCACCGCCAAGAGCTGTGGGGCGGCGACGCGGATCGCCACGCAAACGGAGATGCGAAGGAGAGAAGGGACAGAGGAGTGGTTGGGTGTGGGAAACAAGGAGCATGTCCTGATGGTTGTTGTGGTGGTCGCCACCCTCCTGCCGGCTCTACAAGCTACGTGGTGAACGCCGCGAAGATGGCAACATTGTACTTCTATGGAACAAAATAGTTGCAACACCTGCTCGTCTGAGAGCCTGAAGCAAGGTAAGGGTAGTCACGGGGACTCCCAAGGCCCTGTTCTACCTCGGAAGCCGATGCCTCAGCAGATGCAAGGTGCCAACAACTGTTGGAAGCTCTTTCCTCTTCTACCTGACTCTGGTAGAGTGGTGACACCGCAAACACGTCTCTAGGACATGCCTGGAAAAAAAAGCTTCCTGCGGACCGAAACATCATTCCGACAACCCAACGCGCCCACGACACAGATTGACTTGGCATTTGCGATATCTTGGGGTAAACACGCCGAGGTTTGGCGTCTCGAAAACTTATGATGGTTGGGCAATAAACGCCTTAGGAACGGCACCAGCGCACAGTGTCCTGCCGTGATACCAGTGGTAGTGCGAGGAGGAGAAGGAGGGGGGACGGCCGCAATGCTTGTAGAGTCCCTAACAAGGACAACCCCGGGCAGCACGACTTTCCTCTTGCTCGACAACCCCCAGAAAATACGGAGATGCGCCAAGGCACACATGGCACATGCAGGGGCTAGAGACGCGCCGTACGTATGATACATCTCGGTGTGCGTGGACACACAAAACAAGTAGCACCTACGCAGATAAGAGAAAAACCGACTCTCCTCACTACTTACAACGCCTCCCCACCCGAACGTTGCGCAAACGCCTCTTCTCACCTCAGCCGAAACCCCGCAGAAATCCTTCCCAGGGTCCACCTTGACACCGAGCTCGACATTGTACATCCTCCAGCACAATACCATGGGACCACGGCCCCTGTCCGCCTTCGCCCTAGGCCTCCTAGCACCTGATTTCTTTGTCGCGCTGCCTCCCCTGCCTCCACCCTTGCGACTTCGGTTGTCCATCCCGCGCTCGACGGCTCGCGCGGTCCCATGTCCCCATCGCTCTCGCTCTCGCTCGATGAGTTCTCTTGGAGGGGAAGGGGTTGAGGTTGTGCCGCTGCGAGAGTCTGAGCGTCGTTTTGTCAAGGGGGGGGGGTGGGGAGCGATGAGTTGGAGGGTCATGGGTGTGTGTTGTGTCAATGTAGTGACCCACAGGCAGAAGAGCGTTACTTGTGAGCTGTCGCTGGGCGTATCTTGTGTCATGAGCCAAACGCGTCGACGGGGTCAAGTGTTCGGGTGTTGTGCCTCAAGCGTGTTTTATAGGCAATAGACGCAGATCTGAGTGTCTGCTGGTATCGGCCCGAGCGGTGGTAATGTGGGGAAAACTGGACGTCCGTTGTCACGTACCGGGTGTTCTGCCAGTAATCATTCGAATACCTAATTGGAGTTGGAGCTTGCCCATGTGGCGTCTATTTAGTCTGTAACGACCAAAATCACACATGTGCACTGAAGTAGTAGGCTGCCGCATTTCTGGGTGTTTCCTCGGTACAGTAGTTCACCAGGAAACACAGTTTCTCTCTGTCTAGAATAAAAACGAACCGACAGTTGCATAGCTACACCGTAAAAGGCAGCGCACCGCTCCCGAGGGTGCGGCGACGGTGCATGTGCTCGACGATTCAAAAAAGTGCCCGTACAACAGCAACAGCAACAGCAACAACGGGCTGCTGTTGGTGGATCATGAGCTGTACGATAGTGTAGGCACGGACTTGCTCCCAACTCGTTGCACACACAACTGCAACGCTTTCGACAGCTTGAGCCGGCATAGGGACGTGGGCGATCGTTGCCCAGATACCCTACTGGTACAAGCGTCTTACCGGCAAACCCCCCTGGCTGTGGCTGTGTTGTCTCGTGGTTGGTCCCTGTATCTCGTCGCCTGTAGATACTGCTGGTCATGTACATACGTAGTTCAGCTGCCAACCCACACCTGACGTTCAACACCATCACCGGCCCCTATCCCGTCTATCGACCACGACCAATGCACGTCCTCCATTACAGTCATTCGGCGGCAAGATAGACTATTCACGTGAAGCTCCCAGTCACCTGGTGGGGGCATGGGAGAGGTGCTGCTTCTCAGCTCTGGTGTTGTTGCCCTGCGATGATGCTGGCCTCTGCTGCTGTAGACCACCGCTGGATCTATGGGGCCGAAACTCTCGCTAGAGCGGGAGCAAAGAGCCAACCCCAAGGCAACCGTGTGATGGACGCCCCATGATCGATGGATCTGCATGCCGGAACCTTGTGGATGGGCGACCTGTTGGTTGTACACCAGCGGTCTTGCTGCTTTGCTGCGGCCAACTGCCAACTTGCTGCGGCGGTTCGGGGGGTACGCGATTGGGATTGATGGCATGAGGCCTTCGTTCATGTTATGAACTCCATTCCAGAGCGTGCCGCGCGGCCGGCAGTGCTGCCAGCAGTGCCACAGACACTACATACCTCGTTCCCACTGCGCAGGGCGAGCAAGAGTGTCAAGGGTGTCGTCAACGCACCACTGCGAGGCGTGAGAAGAGCTTGGTAGATCATCATGTTCGTGAAAACCCATGCTGCTGCGGCAGCGAGCACAGTGATGGCGCTCATTTCCCTTCGTACTGGGGAGGGATTTGTCCCGCGTGCTGGTGCCAACCCCAAAACCGGCAGTAGCAGCGGCGGCGGCAGCAGCAACTGCTGTCCCAGCGCTGCCACTTCTGTGGGGAGTAAAACTGCTGGTCACACGCCTGCGTTGCTCGCGGATCGTAGTAGCACTAGGCATAGGAGAGGAAACGGGAACTTGATTTTGATGTGCGAGGGCGGGGGGGGCTCGCCGGCTGCGGTAGGCGCAACCGCGGGCGCGGCAGGGAGGAAGGGGCGGAAGCCGCCGTCAGCAGCGGCGGGAGTCAGAAGAAGACCGCCTCAAAGGCAGCAGCAGGGAAAGGGTTTGTCGTCGGTCGAGGGCACGATTGAGAGAAAACAGCAGCTCAAGGTGGCGGAGCTGAAGAAGCAGTTGCAACGTGAGTCCACGGCAGCAGTGCTACTCGTGACACAAGATATCACACCCCGCAGACCGATTGTCAAAGGTCGATTAGTCGACAGCAGTAGGAATGATGGCGGTGCCGAAATATGGTGGCAATAGAATCGTCTCGCGGAGAACTTTGCGCGAGAGCGTTGTTTGAGCTGAACATCCTCTTCGTCGTGGAGTAATCGAGCATTGAAAATGGGTACCAGGGGGGGTGGTATCTTGTGTCACCCACAAGTCCAATGCAGTTGGGTGTGTGCCGCTGGTACTAATAGTAGTGTGGAAAGAACCCACAGATTTGCCCCATTTCATTTGCAATGGCTTGGACTCCTGCACTATCGCCACAGGTTTTCTCCGAAGTTAGGCAGCATTCCACTCCTGGCGTAAGCGAGAGCTAGATAGATAGCAGGACTACTGCTGTACTGTAAGCTTGTGGCCGAGAAGTGCGTCTGTCTGGCCTCTGTCGTAGCCACCGTCGTATGCATAGCATAAACCTGAAACATCTGTGAACCCCAAATCCCGTTGGCAGCGACTTACCACAACGCAACACTTTCACGAATCACTGGAAACAGCAGAGTCTCCAAAGCTGCGCAAGGCAATCAGGTGATTGGACCCTAACGGGGTGAACACAACGTCAAAAACGGTACTTCTGTAGTGTTAAGACTCCATCATTCCCCGGGCATACGATCTCATAATGCAGCCCATCGATCCAATACAGGGTTGAGTTCGGCGACCTTAAACATTCATGCTCAAACATGAATGTCTTCTCTTCAAGTCTAATCCATCTGACAGCAGTGTACAAGAAGATCGCAAGGTCCTCCACGGCAGCATCACCCATGACCCAAGATTCTGCCTGGGGCTTTCCACACATGACATGCTCTCGCCCCCCCGCCCCCCGTCCTCCGCACGCCTCTCCTGAAGGTTTCGCATCGTTACGGATGTGGCGACGTGCGACGGAGGCCTTTGACAAGGCTAAGGCCGACGGGCTGCCCATGACCGCCGCAACCTACACGCACGCCATTAACGTCATGAGCAAGGGCGGCAGGTACGGGAGTTTTATGTGGGTATATCATAATAGGAGACGGGGAAGAGGTTATTGAGGGGATGCATGGCGTAGAATGCGACAGGCTCTGCGTGCGGGATGCGAGTTAAGTTGTTACGCCAAACTAGTGATGTTAATGTTCCCGCTAAGGTGCTACTGTACGGTCTACATCGGATATATACAGACAGCCCTATTCCCTCCCCAGGGACTCCTCTCAGTGAGCGTCAACGCCAGCGAAAACGACATGGGCCATGTAGTTGACCAGTTATGTGTGTTTCGCCTTGTGCTAACAACGCTGCCCCCCCCCCCCCTCCCCTCCAAAACATCAACTTTCCCCGGAAAGATGGAAAGAAGCAATAGAACTGCTAGAAGAAATGATCGCCGCTGGCAACGACAGCAATGGCGGCCCCAAGGTCACCCCATCCGTGGTGAGCTACAACGCGGCCATCACGGCGTGCTCGAGGGCAAGCAAGGTGCCTGCGGCGCTCCGCCTGCTCGACGAGATGTCGTCTAGGTCGGGCCTCTCCCCCGACATCTACAGCTACGCGGCGGTCATGTCCGGCCTGGCCAAGGCCAGGAATCCGGGGCGGGCGATCGAGCTGCTGGGGGAGATGCGCGCGGCAGGGATGGAGCCGGACCTGGTGTGTCTGAAGGGGGCGATGGAGGCTTGCCGGAGCAAGGGGGCGCCGAAGGAGGCGGGCGTGGTTCTTGAGCAGGTGGGTGGCGCTGCTTGTTGTCCCGCAAGTGTGAAAGAAAAGTTGTTGTGGTGTGTTTGGAGAAGAAGTGTAGACGGACGCCACAAGAAGAGCGTTGCATGATGCTTGATGAACCCAACTTAGTAGGAGGACTGATGGGACGGATGGTGAGACGCAGGGAGAGGGTGCTCGTGTGCAGGAGTTGTGCTTGGCCTGCCGCCGAAAGTCGACCATATCGCGATACCCCTTGCCAGAGCTCCGTTCGTTGTATCGACTTGGGCCCCCACTCCCCCCCCCCCCCCCCCCCCCTTTTTCCCCCCCCCCAAAACCCTCCCCAAAACAAAACCCCCCCCCCAACCCCAACCCCCTCACCCAACCCCCCCCCCCCCCCCTTTCCCCCTTCCTAAAAAAAAACCCCCTTAAAAAACCCCCCCACTTCCTCCCCAAAATTTCAATTACAAAAAACAAAAAAATTTCCCCCCCCAAACCCTTCCCCCCCCCCCCAAAATCTTTCTCCCC